AGTGGTGATGCCAGTGTAAACAAATCTACTGTGCTGCCAGTGATGTATAGCCTGTACAATCATGTACAGGACATAATATTTGATAATGATAAATAAGTGATCATGTAACCAATTTATGTAGTTACTATACTATACATCATTATTTTAGAATGTACTTCCTTCCTACTCATTCAAAAAAAGTTAACTGTAAAACAGTCTCAGGCAGGTCCTTCAGGAAGTATTCTAACAGAAAGCATTGTTACTATAGATGACAGCTCCATGTGTGCAACCGCCCCTGAAGACCTTCCAGTGGGATAAGATGTAGAGGTGGAAGACAGTAATGCTGACCCTGCATAGGCCTAGGCCATTGCTTGTGTCTTAATTTTAAATAAAAAAGTTTGAAAGTACAAATAAATACATAATCTTAAAAACAAGAGTTTATAGAATAAGGACACAAAGAAAGAAAATATTTGTATACAGCTGTACAATGTGTGTTTTAAGCTAAGTGTTAAAACAAAACAGTTGAAAAGTAAAAAAAAAAAAAATTAGTGCAAGTAATATCCTATGCCTTCACATTCACTGGCCACTCACTAACGCCCCCAGAGCAACTTTCAGTCCTGCAAGTTCCATTCATGGTACATGCCCTATATGGAATATGGTTCTAATATTTTTATTTAATCTTTTATGCCATACTGTACTTTTTGTGTGTTTAGCACTGTGTTACAATTGCCCACAGTATATAGGTCTATATAGCACTAAAGAGCAATAGGCTAGACCATACAGTCTAGGTGTATAGTAGGTTACGCCAACTAGGTTTGTATAAATGCACTCTACCATGTTTTCACAACAAAATTGCCTATCGATGCCTTTCTCAGAATGTATCCCTGTCATTAAGTGACACATAACTGTATACACAAAATGGTGCTAAACTCTGCAGAACTGGGCAGACACGTTGCTCAGAAGGTCAGCCCTCCCACCAAGGGGTGGGGGCACACTGAGAATCTGAGTGACGACAAACAATAAATCTTACAAGTTCATACACACACACACACACACACACACACACACACACACACACACACACACAAAGATGGAGGGCCATGTTAATTATGTTGTCTTTGGGAGGTGGGTTCAATTTCATTGTCAATTTCTGTAATGTATGAACTGAAAATAATGAATGTAAATTATTTCTGCAATTAGAAAAATACTTTAAAAATTTTTTAAAGTTGAGTGCGGACCATGTTTTCTTAAGTTTTGGCCCCCTCCCCTCCCTTGGAGAAGTGAATTCCCTTTCTCTTTTTTTCTCTCTCTCTAATTTACTTTCTAAATAAACTACATTTTCTAATCTAAAAAAAAGATGGGTATGGTGGCTCATGCCTGCAATCCCAGCACTTTGGGAGGTGGAGGCGAGAAGACTGCCTGAGCTCAAGGGTTCAAGACCAGCGTGAGCAACATGCTGAGACCTCGTCTCTACAATAAATCAAAAAATTAGCCAGGTATGGTGGTGCATGCCAGTAGTTCCACCTACTTGGAAGGCTGAGGCAGAAGGATCACCTGAGCCACTGCCACTGAACTCCAGCCAGGGCAACAGAGTGAGACTGACTAAAAACAAAACAAAACAGAAAACCCCCAAAAGAAGCAAAGTAGAACAAAATATTAACACAGAAATGTAAGATAATCATGCATCTACAATTAGAATATAATACACTATCTAACAGTATCATAATTATTATAATACAGTAGCTAAAGTGGATATATACTGTTCTGAACCCTTCTGATTATTTATGCATTGAATCCTCACAACAACCCTGTGAGGCGGGTGTTGTTTTCTCCTTGCTTTAAAACGAGAAGATGGAGGCAGAAAGGCTGAGCCCCATGCCCAGGTCAGCAAGGTGGAATGGCTGAGCCCCTCTCACGGAATCTGCTGAGCTGGTCACAAAAAGGTAAAACTCTGCTATTAAAATCATTCTTTTTATAAATACACTGCTTTTATTTTCTGCTCCTGAGATCCAGTCTTTACTCCTTTATTTACATACATCCCTGTCCTAAAGTTAAAATTACTCAGAACAGGACACCATTTGATGGCCTCTGCCGCAGTTCATGGCAAAGTGCAAACTGGCTTTGCAACAAAAATGGCTTTGCAGGGATCAATCAGCTAACTTTAATGACTCAAAGAAACTTCTAAACTCAGACATCTCAAAGAACTCTACTAATTTCTGGTCAGTCACCTTGTCGATCAACAAGCTCACAGTCCCCAGGTTAAAACGTGCTGTCCATCTGGAAAAGGCACTGTGACCTTCGGCCACTATCTCCAAGCTGCAGAATATTTATTCAACAAAATCAGTGCTTTGTGCTTTAGTTCCACTCTCAAAGAAGGGCATTTTTTGATTTATTTTTTAATGGTATATTCTTTAAAAAAGACTTTCTAGAGAGCCAATCATTTCAGCAAGTTACTTTTATTAGATTAAGACCATTTTATATAGTAGTGAATACATGGAATATAATACATAAAATATGTATTTATTTTTCTTCAATAAACACAACCTAGCATTCTACTTCAATGCCACACTTTTACAAATGAAGAATCTAAGATACAGGCAGGTAAAGTCACACAGCCAGCTGAGGGCTAACCTGACCCAACTCCCAGCTCCTCAGTCTGATGCAAGGACCCCACTTTGTGCCTACCTCACTCATCCTTCAGTATCCATTCCAACTATAAAAATTAACTTAGCAAATACGATCTACACAGTATGCTGGGAATTAACAAGGTAGACAGACTAGTTTTCTTCATGTAAATCTATACTTTGCTTATTACTGTATACTAAAAACATCAAATAGAAGTGAACTTATTACAAATTCTGTTTAGTCTCAATTTTGATCACTGAACTTTTAGTTCTGTGTATAGTTAGCAAGCTGTCCCTCCGGCCATCCTAGGAGATGAATGTTTCACTTACAACCCATCAGGTGGAGAAAGCAGGGCTAGTCCTGCCTACGCAGTAAGCATCAGTGGTCCGAGGACACAAACGCCATTGAGGACACCACCATCACAGGGTCAGGAATAGAGCCACTCTCTGCAGTCACCAATTTCTTAACATCATCATTTACTTCCAAACACCCAGTAGAGACAAAGCCAAGTGCCTAAGCAAACCCCCATGCCTAGACAGGCCCCAGAGAGGTAGAGTGCAGGTTCACAAGGCCATCCCTTGGGGTCCAAGGCTGCAGTGCTGAGAACAGTGTCCTGAGCAGCAGTAGGAAGCAGCACAGGATGGGGTCAGGGCAGGTGCTCAGGTCTTAACACAAAAAGTTGGACCCAAAATAATTACTTATGTTTCCTCCATTGTCATAAAGTTAAACGCCCTTAAATATTCAAAGCTTTATCTATTAGATTATCATATGACAGCACTTTTCATTACAAAATCATCCCTGAATTGTGTAGCAATTACAGCCCTGAAAGAAATCAAAATCACTCACTCCAGATACACCTCCTTAGTGCACACTGGGTATAAAGCCTATACCAGGCACTGGTGTGCAGAAGACAAGCTCCCTACATTCCTGGAGTCTACAAGCCAGCAGAAGACAAAGACCAGTGATGGGAATCAGCAGAGGGTGGGGGGAGGAGAAGAGACTCAAGCAGGTGAAGGGAGCAACCAGTCCCAGCAAGGACAGAACAGGTGCTGCAGACACAGCTGAGTGTCACCTGTGAGAAGGCAGGTGGCCTCCCAAGAGGCCACCTAGGAAGGGCACTCCTTGGATACACAGAGTAAAGGTCCGGCTAGGACCTAAGGGGGCATCCATGGTATCTATAGCCATGTGACCATGTAGAGTCCCCAAGAAATCAAATCCGAAAGATGAGACCCCACCTAGTGCACTGTGACTATTAGAGTTCTAGTAGCAGATGGAAGGAACCAGCAAAGGTGAGCCCAGTCCCAGAGGGTAGCGGCTGGGGGAGTAGCGAGAGACTAAGGGAGGGTAAGAACATGGAACCAGGAGAAGGGAGTAGAGAAAGGCAGCAGGGGCACAGCTTCAAGGACCAGAAATAGGATGAAGACAAACAAGAGTCTGTTGCATTTGGGAACACGAGGCCATCACTTTGTCATGAGCAGTTTCAAGACAGTGGTTCGGATGAAGGTAGTTAACTTTTTTTCAACTTACCAAATCTGTACGGTTTTTATTCAGAAGGTATCAAAGAATCTATACAACATTTGGAATGGATTTAAGTAGCACCATATCACTCTTCTGCTCAAATGCAAAAAAGAGCAACTTATCTCATTCAGTGAAAAGAATAAAAAAAAAAAAACCCAAGTTCTTACCAGAACTTCCAAGGGGCCCATGGGCCTTCCTCTGTGGCCTCCCCTCCATGACCTTCCCCTGATTCTGTAGTAGCATCTCCTCCATGACCTGTCCCCCTCTTCCACCGTGGCCTCCCCTCCATGGCCTGTCCCCCAACTTCCACCATTGCCTCTCCTTCTCCCCCTTACTCCAATCACACACAGCTCAGCGTGGCTGCTGAGCGTATCTTCCCACCACACTCCTGACTCAGAGCCTGTCCACCTGCTATGCCCCTGGTCTCTGCTTATGCCACACCCGACACGGCCCAGTTCTGGCCTCTTCCTAAGACAGGCCCTTGGTCACAATTCCGCACTCTCCACCCTGTTGCTCAGAGTTGCTTCTCTTCCTGGTCTTTGTTGACCCAACTTAACTTTGCGTGTTTACTTTGTCTCCCCCAATAAAATATATTTTTGATGAGAACAAGAACTCTGACACTACATCCCTTAAATCAGGAATAGTGCCTGGCACACAGCAGAAGCAAAATACTTGTTAAATTCATAATGGCAATCAATGAATTCATTATCAGACCAGAAAGTTCAAGAGCTGCTTGGAAGAGAAAAGAAAATACACCTAAGTACTGGTTGGTGCTATTAACACCTAATTTGAAATATAACTATTTCAAAATTCTGTAAGTTTCCACATCATGCGAGTGGGCTCAGTGCATAGCAGCGTTAAAGAAGAGATAAACTTACAGCATTCGCAGCTCGTGAAAAGTGCGATCATCCTGTTCAAGCCAAGGTCCTTTGTCATACTTGAGGTATTCAATATCGTCTGCCACCTGAGACAGAAAAAATATCCAATTTAAATGGAAGAACCCATTTTAGAAATTTAAATGAGGTAACACCGTAATACATTATAAGCTACAAATATTTGGCAGGAAGAATCACACTGCAAAAGTCAAAAAGAAAGTTACACTGGATGACCTTTAATGAAATGATGGGGTTGAGTGTTGCTTCCTCAACATAGTCTTGTCTAGCTAATGCTCGGGGACCACAAAGTGGTACAGAAATTACCTTTCAGGCTGAGAGTCAAAGAACAAATGAGAAAAACAATCAAGACCAGAGGAGAAAAAACAACCTTCATAACAGAATATTCATTTCTTCCCAAGTAAATTCATTCTAGAAAGGGAAAAGAAAACCAAAAAAGCCCAAGTTCCTACCAGAGCCTCCAGGGGGCCAATGGGCCTTCCTCTGTGGCCTCTCCTCTATGACCCTCCCCTGATTCTGTAGTGGCCTCCCCTCCATGACCTGGCCCCCTCCTACTATGGCCTCCCCTCCATGGCCTGTTCCCCAACTCCCACCCTTGCCTCTCCTCCTCCCCCTTGCTCCAGTCACACACAGCTCAGCGTGGCTGCTGAGCGTATCTTCCCACCACACTCATATTCATTTCTTCCCAAGTAAATTCATTCATCCTCAGATGACAAAAGAATGAGAACATAAACACATTTCCTAGAGAGGCCCAATGATCTAAGTGGCCAATCCCAGAGCCTGCTGCCTGCATAGTTAGACCTTCCAGAGGGTCAATCTTTTCATATGCATTCTCTTCCCCAAACATGCCAAACTTGGGAAATTCTTTTTAGTTTCAAGAATTTGGGTATATTCAGTAATGAACTCAAATAACATAGTGTTGAAGACAAAATAAATTCTTCTTCTTCTAAGATATATACATACCATGTAAACATTCTGCCAAAAGTATAATAATCTAAAATCAAACAAATTAACATCACAGAAACATAAGATTGGGGAGAAAATGAATATAATCTAATCAGTCCAAGTAGTAGAAAGAACTAAGGTCGCAAAAGAATTGTTACAGCTGGAAGTAGCAGAGCCAAGACTAGAATGCAGGGCTTCCATGTGAAAGGAGAATGCTGTTCTCTTTGTAAAAAAAGTGAACACGGTTAACTTTCCTCTTATCTTTCCAATGCTGTGAGGCAAATGAAGAGTATTTGTTTAACACTGCAAAGCTTTATTCATTATGAAGGCACCACCCACACCTTAACCCCAGTTCCTAAAACTTGTACTGTCTTCTAGAATTTTTATACCTTGTTTCGTTTTTTTAATTTGTTAATATACCACAAAAAGTAAGAAACTTGACTTTTAACAAATTGCCTCAGTACTGTTTAAGAAATAAACTACTTTTCTCTACTTCATTTTTTAAATTATCCTTTCAGAAACTGGCTTTACCAAACTGAAGACACTCACACAGGCATGCATATGTGCACACACACGTTCCTAGACTCCATTTTGTTCCATTAAGCTATCTACAAATTGTTGCATTAACACTAAAATGCTGCTGTTAGGATAACTTTATAGCTTTTTTGTATTTGAGAAGGCAAATGGTCCTACATTATTATTCTTCAAATTTTTTTGACTACTACTCATTAAGTTCCCTGAAAAAAAACACTAAGATTGACTGGACTTTCAGAAAATGCACTAATTTAGGGAAAGCTGATATCTTTACATGACTAACTCTTTCCTATTAATTCATCCAACTTTCAATTTTACCACTTGTTTAATAAAAATGCTGAAGCAGATGACCCAAGATTTTTTACATCTTCATCACCTATAATTTTAGGATCACAGAAACTAAATTATTTAAAAGAAAACCAACACCTCATGACCAGGGAAGAGTGATGGGCTGGATTGGCACAGCTTTTTAATTATAAAATACTGATGTTTTTAAGACCAGTGAGAATCAGATTTATATGATTTGCAGAAACCTTATATATAAACCAAATTTAAGAATAATTATAAACTTTTCCTCCATTTTCTTACCTTTCCTGCATCACGAACTTCCCTTGCACTATACTGTAAAATCTCACATTTTTCACTGTAAGAAAAAACAAGGTAAAATTCAGTGTAAATTTTTTCAAGCTGATGTAAGTGTACAAATGAATACATACACTAAAGTCTCTTGCTACAAATATTAAAACTCCACATCCTTTGAATATTGTGCTGGGCATGTGACAGCTCATTACAGCTAGACTAGTTAAGGAGGATATGTTCAAAGCAGTAGAAATGTGCCTATGGCTTGACAGTGTCAACAATAGGTCTGCTTCTTGGCTTCCCTTCTCCCTGACTACACTGTCCCAGCCCAAGCGTGTGAGAGATCATAGCCACCACTGTCCACAGGGACAAGATACACGGGCCATCTCAAGTGCCACACATATACTCTCCCATTGCGGTACCCATTAAAGGGAAGGAAAAAGGAGCCCAGGGCCTGACCAAGACAGGCACAGAGAGCAGTAAAACTGGCAAGGTGTGATACAAATTAATTGGACTGCTAGGATTTAAAAATTTAAAAGAAATTACCTGTTTCAACCCAGTTATGCAATGGGGTAGCAGCAAGTTACTTCCCTTAGTCCTTGGTCTTTAATCTAGACACTGAGAACTCAAAAAGGTCCCAAAAGGAAGACAACAGCAGCTCGCCATTTCCAGCACTTTTGCCCATTTCCCCCATGTTTACACAGATGATTTAGAGTCCTGGTTGTCCAGCCAGGGCAAGACTGATTGTAAGTCCAGACCTCACCAAATGAAGAAGTTGCCTCTGCCATCACCTCCAGACCACCCAGAGGGAGCCTATGTGGCCCCAGTCCTGGCAAAAGAGACAGAGGCCACCAGGCAGGCCAGACCAGGAGGCCTGCTAGAATGCCCATCATGGCAGAAACACTGGAATCTCCTTCCAGCCAAGGGAACAGCAAAACGTCAAGAAAGGGCTACTGTTTCCCACGCATCATCTGCACCGTGTAAACAAGGGAGATTTTCTCATTTAGGTACCTTTATACCAGAGTACTCTCCTGTTGCTGGGATATAAATGTACAGTAAATATTCCAAGAATTTACAAGCTGTTTACTCTCCAACCGAAATCCACATATGACCCCTACAATGGTATCAAACTTCACTAACTCCGCCAACCATCTTCAACACAACCACCAGTTTAATTAAATGAGTTAGGATAGGTAAAGTACTTGTTTTATATTAAGTATCATTATTACTGACTCATATTAATTCCAAAGTGTAAGAAAAAGAAGAAAGTCTTTAAGCACTATAATTACTCAATAACACATCTGTTCACATAAGCCTATAGCACATGACTCACAGAGTCATCCAACTAGATAAGAGTTTCTTCCTCCAACTAGATCACTGCATGCCTCATATCACTATTAAGATCCATATAATGGTCAGAAACTTAAGCACAATGAATGACAAATTCATCAAGTCAGGAAAGTAACTTACTGGATTTGCTGTTATGGGAGAGAAATAAAAGGTCACTGTAATTACAGGGCTTACCGTATTTCTTCATCAACTCTCTGTAATTACCCACTGTTATTATGAAGAGAAAGGTACAAAGTGACAAAGGAGAATAATTTCCCTCTGCAAGTCATAAGTGAATATTAAACTAAAGTGTGTAGGAGACAAAAGTTTTAGATACTACTTGATGATCAAGGCAATGAACAGAACTAGCATTGAAATATTATTTTTTCTCATATGGCAATATGAATGGTCACAACCTATTTAACATCCTTGACATATATGCCACAAGAATGGGCATGAGAAATTAGGAAAATATGTGACAGACACTTTCAACACACACAACTCAACAGACATTAATGAACCTTCACTAGGAGGCAGGCACCATGCAGGGAGTACAAGGGAGTAAAGACAGGGCTTCCTGTCCTCAAGGAAATCTAGCCTCTTCTATTGAGAGCAATCTGGAGAGTTAATTTTATAGCCTAATATGTCTATCTTCTGTGTGCTTCAATTCAGCAGATATTTTCTAGGTGCCTAAGACAGACAAAGTAGTAGGCTTAATGCCTCAGTAACAGACAAATAAAACCCTCTTCTGTCTGGTCACACCTACTTCTCCTTCCCACTGACTTGTGAGGGAGGGCTAAAATAAGAAGGCGACAAGTTTGCAGTCAGTGGTCTGGAGAAATCCCTCGTTAAATGTCTAAGGCGTTCCACTGCAATGGCAGTTACTTCTACAGGCCACTCAAGGCTGAGAAGAAACACAGGTGGAATTGCCAGGGGAAGACAGGAGACACACAGGACTTCTCCAGCAGCAGCCACTGTTTTGGCAAGTCAATCAAACACTGATATTAAAGCTACATAAAACATTTCTCTTATTCAATTCTGGTTTTATTGTTTACTTATGGTCTAATATTATCTTCTAAGGTTGTTCACTGTAAATATACAGTATTTCACTAAATGATGGCTTCAATAAACAAGCACAGGGAAACTAATATTGTTTCTGTTGGAAAATACCATATGAATTCTAAAATGACTTACAAACTTTAGATTACAACTTATTTGTTACAGGTTTCTTAAAGTTTTATGCAAAATAGTTTTAGCCAAATTTCACAGTGAATTTATAAGAGAAAACCTAAAGATTCAAGTCCATCACAAAGCTGCAATTTGATCTTGACCTATGATTCAACACTTTAAATAATGCATATTGCATGGAGTACTTCTAGTATTTGTTCTTCTAGATGTGACAAGTGACCCCTAAATCAAGTGGCTCCCATAAATCCATGCAATAAGAGTTGCTGGAAATAATTCACTTTGACAATGAATAGAGACCATATCAGTTCAAAAGACAAGAGATAAAATCACAGCAAGACCAAGTGATGAGAAACAAATGCTTGACGCTTAAAGAATCTAAGGGGGTAGCAAGGTAAAAAAAAAAAAAACATATCATGCTGTGTGCAAACTGACACCAGGCATTAATTTGCTAATGTTGTAGTAAAAACTACTACTTGAGAACTTATGAGAAAGCTCGTTTTCAGTGATGTTTTGGAAGCCAGAATATCTCCAACAGGAATTTTTGAACCTGAAATTCTGGGGTCAATACCTCTGTTTATGCTGCTTATTTACAGGGCTCTATACATTCTCTTTGGCATAGTTACAAAACTGCTTTCTTTTGCACTCTGGCTTTGGAAATGGAGCAGTATAACAGGTCGGAAGGAACTTAGAGGTCACCCTATCTTTTCTGCCACCTGCAAAAGAAAAGCTTACCACAAACAAGCAGGGATAAATAAGCATCAATAATTATGGTAAAGAAAAAAATACTTTTCAATTTAAAGATAAAACTTTTCTTCCAAAGTTACTATACCTTACTTGTTTTTATTCACAACTTTATAGTTACTTTGAATTTTTAAATAACAAGGGCATGAGATTTTTAGGTATCAAAAGAGGCTTACATTTTTAAAAGGTATAAGAAATACTAGTAAAAGCCTTCAATAAAAGCATTATTCAAAAAATTGGACTTGAGTGACAGTGGTATGACATTCTTCACACACGAATACACCCAAGAATCACAGAATGACAAGCTAGAGTGAGTAAAACTGTATTTCCCTTGTGCTTTCAGTAAACACACACACACACACACACACACACACACACACACACACACACACACACAAACAGAAAAGGAAAAAAGAAAAAAGAGTCTGGTGGTGTTTTCTTCATCTAATCAAAATATCTCTTTTTTTTTTTTTTCCCTGAGTTGGAGTCTCACTGCATCGCTTACGGTCACCCCAGCATGAACTTGCTAGGTTCCGACGATCCTTCAGCCTCAGCCCTCCAAGTAGCCAGAATACAGGCGCGTGCTACCACGTCCAGTTAATTTTTGATTTATTGTAGAGATAAGGTCTCACCAAGTTGCCCGGGCTGGTCTCGAACCCGTGGGCTCAGGCAATCCACTTGCCTCAGTCTCCCAAAGTAATGGGATTACAGGCTGAGCCACTGAGCCCAGCCCAAACATCTCTTAAGGACATCACTTAGGAGTGCTTAAGAGATTGTTTATACTGCATGAATTTTCTCCATGAATATACTGTATACTTTCTAGCAATACTTTTAGAAAAATATGAATGTTTAGTTGTAAGAATACATGAGTTTTCTAATGCTAAAATCTGCCATGGAATAGAATCTGGGTTTATGTCTGGCATCAAAAAAAACTTTAAAAATATAACAAAACAGAAAAATTATGGACAAAGCAAACAAACCAAAACCCCACCAAAACCAAACTGAAATGTCTCCTATCATTCTTATTTACAAACAGATTAAAACACCCTAGACAGCATGCATGGCACGAAGTAAGAAAGAAAACTCCTTGAACTTTTGGGGCCTACGAAACTGTTGCAAGCAAATCTCAGTCCTATAAACCAGTCATGTGCTTGGCTCACCTCATCTCAGGGAGGAAGGTTTTCTTATAGGCATTCTCGATGTCCTGAAGATAGGCAGAGGTGACCTTCATTTCATGTGGCTAAACGAGAGCAGAAAAATCAAACTGGGAAATGTTTAGATATTATTTGCTTTTACTTGTACATATGTAAAATGTGAAGACAATCACTGAGCATTGTTTTCTTTGAATCATCTACAGTGGGCACTGTAGGGACTTTGGGGTACAGAAAAGAGCCTCAAGATCAGTTAGAATCATTCTCCCCTACAACAGTGAACACATGAGTCTGTCCAGGTGCACCCATGGGGTGCCTCTCTTGCAGGCTCTAAGATGCAGACTTAAAACAGGGCAAGACAGATACCCTTGTTATCAAGTGGCACTGCCTATCTTTCCTGTTCCGCCTCGTGCCTGACTGCAGACAATGAAAAATCACCAAAAGTGGGGGGCAGGAGCCCCTCTCCTACTGCATCCTACTCTGTTATCCAACCCTCTCTGCAGTTCTCCGTCCTGCTCCCCTCCTCCACCACTCACCCATTTCCCCGCAACTAACTCCCCAACTCACTCTAGCTCTTGCCTCCCTTATCATCTGAAGTATGCTAAGTCAGCTTCAGAAATTTAAAAATAGAGTGTCAAGTTTCAATATTTAAACAACACCAAAGGCTAAGTTCTATTATCTTCTCACCCTGTTTTATTTTCTTCATGGCAATTTCCTTTATTTAATGTATTTTCTATTTGTCTCCTTGTTTACTATGGGTTGCCCCCATTAGAATGAGTAAGGATTTCCACCCTGTTCACTGACATGTCCCCAGCACCATTAGTGTCTAGTAGAGAGTGGATGCTCAATAAATATTTGTGGGAAAGAGAGAGAGGAAGAAATAAAGAAATAAATAGGCCTACAATTTCAACTTACAAAATGATGAAAATATTCTAAACCTAGATGACAACAGTGGCAACAACTTGGTAAATTTACTAAAAATCACTGAGTTATACCCTTAAAATGGGTGAATTTTATGAACTATAAATTATACCTTACTAAAGCTTTTCCACAAAAAAGGGAAACTATCATTCAAAGAGTATTTACTGAAAATCTATCATTCTAGCAATGGGACCAGGCACATGGAAAAGTACAATAAAGACAATGCTGCATTTTTACCACTCTGTCAAGAAAGGGGATCATGTTTTCCCTCAGGAAAAATACTATAATTGGGAGTTATATTTTTCAGTAAGGACTTGGCATCAGAGAAGATGGGCTTTGTTAATTTTTGTAGCCTCCTAGGTGTCTGGCACAGGTACCTTGCATATAGGAAGTATTCAGTATTAGGTGAGTGAATGAAATCAAGAAAAGTATAAAACAGTGATATGATTATAAATCTCTATCATTAGCTGTGTTCCAGGTAAAATAAGATTAAATACAGACTGACTATAAAAGGAGCTCTAGTGTACTACAAACATATTATGTACACCATAAAAACATAACCATCTCAGAAATTTGACCTGCAAAAACTAAATAGAATACTTTTACTATTCTCTTAAACTTTAGAAACGGTTTTCGGATATTCTCATCAGTTATTCACAAAAGCTGCAACATAGAGACACAGACTGCACTGAAATAAAAATCTAATAGAAACACACCCATTAATAATATAGCATCTGTTTCAGAAACTGTAATTTTAGCTGGTAACAGTATTCATCTAAGACTTTACTTGGAATATTAAAAAGTTGCCAGCTCTACTTTGGACCCCAAAATTGTTTTTGAAATACTGTTATCCCAGATAACAAAATAATTATCTAGAGATTCTGAATATATGCCTTCATTTTTCTCAATAAATCTCAGTATAAGCAAAGGTGTCCAAAGTTATTCCACTGAGAAATAATTAAATATTTTAAACTTGCAGTTGCCATTCCTTCCTTTTGCCACCTGATAGAATGTTCTTGAAAGTTTAAATAATACTTGAGAGCAAACTCTTAAGCAATAATAGGTACAGAGTGGCAAGAAATAGGAATAGCTAGATGTCTATGTTTACTACTGAAAGAGAGGAGGAAAGTTAGTCTCATAGAATCTTCTGGCAGTAACAAAAAAAGAAAAATCGAGCTTTCCTGCTGCCTTTACGAGAACTACCATTCAAAAAGGTATCCACTGAGCACCTACGAGAATTCCAGGACTGAAGGTGGACATTACAATGACGAACAAACAGGCAACTCTGCATCTTCATCACAATGTCAAACAGGAAATCACATTTTCCTCCAGAAAAAAACAATATCATATTAAACAAAAACTAGCTAAAGGAGCAAAGATGGCCTTTGTTAACCTCTATAACCTCCTTCATGCCTACAGAGCTACCAATGGCCAGAGGATAACTCAAAAGGCAGAATTTCTAGGCCACCTAATGAAGACAATCAAAACTACGAAAAGGTGAAACTGATGTGTATGGAGATCATTGCTCTACTGTCCTAGAATCAGTAAGTAGGAAAAAGAGGGACAGAGGCACAATGTGTGTTAAACAGATGGGAGTAGTGAACTGAAAGGATATTAGAAATCACTTTCAATTTGTAGGAGAGTGATAAGATATGAAAATCCCATTTAATAATGGAAAGGTACATGACAGAGGGACTGAGAAAAGTCTGTCAGGAGGTCTTCCCCAGCCTCACAAGAACAGTTGAGGGACTTGGAGACAACAGTGGGCCTGGAGAGCACTGGTAAGCAGCAGTTCCCAACTGGGGCAGCACCAGGCAGAGACCCTGGGCCCTCTCTCCACTCAAGGATGGCCTCTCTCAGCTGGGATCCCTCCTGGTGAGGACCACCAGAAACCAGTATCCTACTAAAACAGGGCTTTTAAGTGCTGTTCTACATTACAAATAGCAAGGACAGATAAAAAGATGCATGGCTTTTGATTTTAAAACTGAATTACATTTCCTTTCTTCTGAATCCGACTCTGGATCTCTGGAACGGGCACATCGATGTAGATCACCACGTGGGGAGGCAGGTATTCACAGATGGTGACCTTCTTCACCTCGTTGTAGTGGTCCACACCTGTCATACATAAGAGAGAGGCACCACTGTCATCTAACAGTCCCCATACAGGTTTCCAAAACAAGCTCCTCCTTGAATAAAACAGTAAAGGAATTTGCAATTCTCAGAGCCATATGTCAATCTGAATCACATTACAGTCACAGCTCTAACCAATGACCACACACATGGCAAACAGGGCTTCTTATCCTCACTGTATTTACAAACCCAAAGTATAAGGTCCAGGGAAATTAAGTGACTGACAAAGTAAAATACTAGGATCTAAATGATGACCTTAACAGTATTCTAAAGGCAGATCTTCAGTGCATCTTAGCCACATTAAAGAGTCCACCTTTACTTCTGAGGCAAGGTGAAGGTCACTCAAGTGTCCATTTTAGTGTTTTCTGAACTGAAATGCATTGTATACACCTGCTGTATGTATATTTCTTCATAGTAACAACAGATAAGGGTATGATCTTCTTTAAGGAATAAAAAGAAAAATGTCAAGCTACATTTACTCAGGTTCAGCACATTTAAACAGCTACACAGAACTATTTACTGAGTTAGATTCAGTGATATAAAATAAAATTGAGGCTGGATGTGATCTCTTGCCGGTAAAATCCAGCACTCTTGGAGGCTGAGGCAGGAGGATCACTTAAGCCCAGGAGTTTGAGACCAGCCTGGGTAACACAGTGAGACCCTACCTCTACAAAAAAAATTGTTTTTAATTAGCCAGGTATAGTGACACACACCTGTAGTCTTAGCTACTCAGGAGGCTGACACAGGAGTTCAAGGCTGCATTAAGCTACGTATGGTTGCACCACCACTCCAGCCTGGGCGACAGAGAAAGATTCTTTATTTTTAAATAAATAAATAAATAAATAAGTAAAAAAATAAAATTGAAAGTAACTAAGGCAAGAAATAATTCTCCTAAAGTTATCATAATACAGAATACATTATAAAGACAGCAATCACATAAAAATTGTGATGCTAAAGAGGATTTGCTGCTTTGAAGAATACTCTATGAAACCAACAGGGAGAATACAGTTCTGTTTATGCAGAACGAAACAACCACCCTCACCCATCACAGAGGCAATGTCAAGAAATTATCCTCTCTGCAGACTGTTACATGGTGGAACCTTCCAAAAGTGACAAATGGGTGGTCATGTTCCAGTGAGCAGCACTCCTAGTACTCTTGCTCTAGAAGAATTATGGGATGGGCCTTTGATCCAAGGTCAGGGACAATATGCACTAGAGGGATATGAAAGACTACCAAGGAGGAGGCATGACCAAGCAAGAGACAAACACTGACTGTGGGGTACAAACACCTGATCGTACCAACAGCCATCCATGCAGAACATACTAGGCCAAAGATTTGCTTCCTAATTGCTGGACCTTTAAGAGGTCAACCTCTCTCACTGTTAAACTAAAATCTTCCTTTGCCTTGCTTCCTCCACAAAGTCTCAATTTTTCTCCTTATTTCTGTTAGCATCCCATTTCTTAGGCAATTTCCCACCCTGCCATGTGACACCTGCCCTTTAGCCAATGAAATTTGCTTTCTTCCAACCCAACACTGAAATGATCCTGGCTAATGCCACCAGTCCCCTAAAGGTGAAATTTGATGGTCACTTCTCAGTTCTTATCACAGTCCACGTAACACCCATGACCAACCATCCTCCACCCTCTCTGGTTATCCTTGTGCACCTCTGATGGTTCAGCTTTAATTTTTCAGGGGGCTCCCACATCCCCACAAAGGGCACACTCTGGGACCTGGTCTCAGTTCTCACCATCACTCCCTGGGCTTTTCCAAGACAAGTATGCCCACTGTCTCTGCCGACCCTCCAAACTATCACCAGCCCAGGCCAATCCTCAGGACTTTAGCAGACACCTGACTGCAGATGTGCCCTGTGACCATCTCATGGGAACTCATACTCAGCGACATCCAAATGTGAAGCCATCTCAGTCCACTGTCCCTGTGCATCCTTCTCCCTTGTGGCTAACCAACCAGGACAGGTCCACGTTACTCTCCCCACTGTGCTGCCATGAAGTCACCCACTCAGGCCTGCCCAATGTCCCTCTTCAGTGGCAACTCCCATTGTCCAGTGCAGCCTCCCTGCTGGGCACTTCCTCCTGACTGGGCTCCTTCCCTTTGAGTTTCCCCTCACCAAATGCATCCTTCAGATAAAGGCCTGTGATCACTTAAAACTCAAATCTAACTACATCCCTGTCATGCTTAAAATCCTTCAGCAGTTCTTCAGTACTTTCACAACAAAATCAAAACGTCCTAACCAAGGTGCAAGCCCCTTCCTCGGGCAGTCCCTTCCTACCTCTCCAGCCAGCACCTGACCCTCCCTCCATGACAACACTGCCAGTGTGTGGTCTCCACCCACCCCCAACTTCCCTTGCTTGCAACTGCATTACAAGTCAGTTATCAACAAAGATCTTCCTGAGAACAATTCCATCTCCCAGCTGATTAGATGGTTCTGTGTGCTTCCATAGTACCCAGGAGTAACACTGAGGAGCCACTAAACACATTTTATTGCAATTAACGACCTACATTGGTTTAACGTCCCTCACTCCCACCCACAAGACTGTGGGAGCCTTGTCTTTCATACCTTCATAACACTAATCCTTAAGACAGCATGTACTCCAGAAATACTTGCTGACTGACCTGAACTGCTGCTTGGTGTGTCTAGAGAGGATCAGCCCCTTGGGCAGAAGCAAGGGCTCTCACTACTCTTTCTGGCTGCAAGCTGTCAGGCAGATTACCCTAACACCAGAACACATATGCAACCAAAGCAGATGCTGTATCCTCAGAATTGCCACCTGGATTACTTCAGTCTCCTCTTTCATTAACCAACAACACTGACTCTGACTTCCCAGATTTCAGCTTCCCACTGGCTCCAGTCACCCCAGCACACAGATGAAAACATTGCCAGTCAGACTGACCACAAGACCTGTTCAAAGCACCATCCCAACACACTCCTACTTAGACACTCCAATCCTATCTTAACTTCTCAAGGTCAGCCTGCTTCTAACTAGGTCTTTATTCCTTTCCATATGCCACTTGTCAGCTCTTCAACAATACCCCAACACAAGACTACTCTCCCTAAAAACATGAGAACAGCAACGTGTCTGAAGGAAAGTTCCATTAGAAATCACACATTAGAAATGGGAGCGTTTGGTATAATTAAACCTACAGGTCAAAGAAATGCAGCCCCAGTATTTCTGGGTGAGCTGAGAGCTGGGGAAACCCTCGGGGGAGGATGTGGGGACTGTGTGTTAAGCCTAGTATGCTCAATGGCCTGAGACCCTGCCCTACTTTCACAGGGAGATGTCATAGGACAAAAGACACCTATTTTAGGAAGAAAAAAGGGTGAGAGAAACCTCAGTAAGTTCCCTTCTTCCTGTAAAAATTTATTAAGTAATGGTATTTCTTCATCTTTAACAAACATTCACAAAAACATCAACAGCAAGGTGAGTCTATCACAGCCTTTGCAAAGTCACACAACACACTGGGAAGCTTGCCTGCAACACTGACTCACACTGCTTTCGGATGTATCCTTGGTTGTACATCGCTTCCAGGAAAACAAAGTCACTGAAGATGGAGCGCTCCAACACAACACCCTGTCCTGTTTAAAAATGGATAAACAGAAATTAAGAATTAGACAAATAACAAAGCGCTGTAAACTGGTGATTTCACTTTAGAAAGAGGAAAAGCACAGTCATTTACAATTTCATTTCCAAACTAAATATATTCAAAAGAACATATACATATTTATAAGTGGGAAATTATTTCCAAAAACTAGAATACCTTTTCAGTTTTGGGCAAAATAACATTGTTTCAATCGTTCAGCTGTGACAAAAGCATCCAATTAAAATAAAAAGTGCTTCCGTTTTTAAACGATCTATTCCATCCCCACAGTGAAGTGACCACCCTAATTACTGCTCCTGCCTGCACCAACCACTCCAGTCACCTCCATCCACTCTCAGCCTCACTTGTTGAGCTACTGTCACAGTGGCCCCTAACAGACACTCAGATCAGAATGCTAGTTCCCAGGGCTCCTAGGCAGACTCCCTGCAGTTAGTCCTGCTATGTCTGGGTAGAGGCCTCCCCTAACCTTCCAAACCCAGTCCCATCCCATGGTCCCCTTCCTCAGAGCAACCACCACTCACTCAGGACCAGATGTTCTCGTTTCCATATTGAGCCTTTATCTTCTACTAAAATATAAACTTCCCTTCCTGTGGCACCCCTAGCTCCTAGGCTAGGCCTGGCACCCAGCAGGCATGCACTCAGTACTTAATAAGTAAGTTAAAAGAGTACAAAAAAACCAAACAAGTTCTTATTTAACAAGTAAAATGTTTCTTTTTAATTTTAAGAAACAGTAGTCAGAAGATAGGGCCGACATGTGCTTCAGAAGAATGTATAGTGAGCCCAAATGTCAGCACTAAGTCCAAGCCACTATATTGGCTCCTGTGAGTTGGGTTCTAGTCCAGGACATTGAAGGTAGATGGCAAACCACATTTTTTCTTAAGAGTAACACTCACAAAGATCAGGATTTTATTCATTCAGAAACAAGAATCACTAATAAAATGTCAAAAAGGCAGGACAATAAGGAGAAGCCTTTGAACTGTTCACATAAGACCATTACCCTATGTGGCCATAGTGCACTAGGCAGTGGCTCCCAAACACAGCTGTGAACCAGCTCCAGCAGTGGTTGGGGTCCTTGTTAGAAACATCCTTGTTCTCACAGCTCAGACCTGGCCCCATGTCCCTCCCTTGCATGAGCTGACTCTCCAGCAGCAGTGGAGCTTCTGTGTGTGATAAGCTCATGAGGGATACCGCTGATCAAGAAGTGCGGCAACCACTGCTATCGAGAACTGACACAAAGCCCCTGAGAATCAACCTGCCTCCCTCTCCTCTACACATGAATTTGCTGCTACCTGTGAATTCAGAACCATGGCATGGGAGCTTTGACCAAAAAGTTGCTGCCCAACTTTCAAGGTGTCTAACACTCTGTTGTTTCCCAGGACAATAAGGCAGCCCTAGTGGGGTTGTGACTTCACTGTGCACATGCATAGCCTATGTTCCTGCCCACTGTCCACTTTCCCTCCATCTCCTGTGTTTCCTGATCCCTGTTTCCATCTCCCAGACTCTGGCCTTGGCTGCCCTAATACAGAACCCATGTCCATTTCTTCCCTGCTTTGGACAACTCCCAAGGACATATCCTCCCTAACCACATGAGTCTATGGTGACCTGTGTGTTCCACCGCCCTTCATCTCTGCTACCTTCTCAAGGTTTAACTTCTACCCTGTATCTTTATGGTGAATTCCAGTCTGTCTCTGGGTCCTCTAAGACAACCCTGTTTTGTTGTCATTCACATCTCTATATGAGACATGCTGCATCTTCCTAAGTTTGACTCCACCTCCTCTAGTGGATTATATGTTTTCCCTTTCCTCCATCATTTTGACACATTGCATGTAAACGTCTAAAACAGTAACATGAATATTCCATACAATTCATAAATCCACTTCAGTATTCAACAGTGAAATAATATTAAGTTAATTTTATTCTGAAACAATAACATGGATCTCAGGGAACTTATGATCTCATTGGAAAAACAAAACGTACCTCATCAATGACTCTGAAAGAAAAACTCCACTTAGTAGCAATTTAAAATAACTGAATTCTAGACTCAAGCTCAAGTACACAATGCATCCAGCAGATACCCAGCCAGAGACACGCACCTGTGCTCAGCAAGTGTTCCAAGGCATCTGCATACTGCAGGAGACGACTGGCATACAACCAGGACTGCAGGCGGTAACTGTTGCCATCATTACTTTGCGGATCATCATAGAATTTCTCCAAACTACAGTTGCCACTAAACGCTACGTCCAGAGGCTTTCCATCCCCTGTAGTGCTGTCTGCATAATGTATCCCTGCTTCAGGAAAGTGCTTTAAGCCTGTGAAGAGAAAGAACTAGATGAAGCCTGGTGTGGGTTCCCCACTACCCCAGCAATTAGTGTGGACTAACTGAAGCACACAACCCATCTGAACAGTATCACCAGTATACCCTTACACCTGTGTTTCATCATATGTAAAGGGAGCACATGAGATACTGAAGACAACTTGCCTGAGCACGTGTGAGATAAACAAGTAAGCTAAAGGGCTGCACCATGCTCTTGTATGAATTCCTCCCGAAAGGACAGCTTCCCCGTGACTATAAGAGCCCCTCCAGTGCTGTCAAATGGGTATAACAGAAAGGTACCAGGGACAAACACCAGCACTGACGAGCTGTGCTACATCAGCTCCTCTTACCGACTTTACTCATTTGTAAATGAGTGCCATAACAACACTTCTATTTCACAGGCTATCACAAAATTCAAATATGACAACTCACATGGAAGTGTCCAGTTTATACTGTCAAGATAAAATTCCAGTTCAAATTGATAACTAGCAAAGATTTTTTTTTTTAATTTTCCAAATCTGAATGATTAAACAAAAATGTAAAATACTCACCTTAGGCCCAATTCTACCTAATCAATATTAAAGTAAAATCAAAGTGAGATAAACAACCATATATCTGAGAAAAAGGTGTCATTCTACATAACATAAAATCATACCTAGTTTCTCTGCTATCTCTTTTGCAAGCTTGCCTTTCCCAGAACATATATTGCCATCTACAGTTATCACTTTGCTGTATTCTGTCAGTTTTTTGCTTGTTTTATCACCAAGCATAAATGCCAAAGGTCCGTATCGCAGCTGACACTGCACACTGGTATGAAGTCTTCCCTGAAAAACACAATATCATACAACAGTACAACGTGACCATTCTGGTTACTGCAGGCATTACCAACTATTAGGTAAAAACACCAAGAAACCCCTTGGTGACAAAAATGCCAACATCTACATCTTTATTACCTATTAATTTAATTTTCTGTCTCTCCCTCCACCCCGGTCATGCAAGCTCCCTAACAGCAGATATGTTGTCAGTCTATTCACTGCTAAATCCTCAGGGCCTGGAATGGTGCCTGAAATTTCTATTGAATATGCTTACTATGTTCAATAAAAGTTGGGTGGATGGCTATAGATGGATAGACTGAAGAAAGACAGGGAGAAAGAGGGGCTCAGGGACAAGAGGGAAAAAGGGAATAAAAAACATTTGTCTAGTCCGGGCTTCTGCCCTATGCTCCTGACCTAGTTACCCCACTGCCTATTAAACAGTTCTACCTGGATGTCCTAAAGGCACCTGAAAGCTTACAGACCTAAAGCTGAAATGCAACACCCATGCCCTCACTCCCAAGTCTGCTGTCCCTCACAACAGGGAATGAAAAGAGAGCATATATAAGAGTCATCTAGGATGTTCTTCCTTCAACTGCAGAATCATACACAAAATCCTAACTCTTCAATCTCTCTGGACACATCACCTCCCTTCCATACTGCACTGACTCTGTAGACATCTTCACATCTTTCATATTCAAGGCAAAGGTCTGTTTCATCTGCCTCCAGAATCCCCAATACTCTCCATACTACAGCTACTTCCAAAAAGAAAAGAAACATAACCAAAAGGCAAACAACTGAAAAAATTTAACATATATGAGGGGATAGCAGCTTAGTGTGTACAGAGGTTGTATAGGACAAAAAGAAAAAAAGAGAGATGCATAGCTTATTTTAAAAGTATGAAATATGGCCAATAACCACATGAAAAAGTGTTCAACCTTGCTACAAAAAACCAAAAGACTATTAAAAAGGAGAAATACATTTTTATGCACCAAGTGGAAAATAATTGACTTTTTAAAAATGATGATATGCAGTGCTAGGACAAGATAATGAATACCACCATAAACTGCTCATGGTAATAAAACCTAAAGGATACTGGGTGTATGGCATCAGTAACCTATCCAAAGGGAATAAACCATGGACCTGTGCAAAGATTCACCTATAAGGATGTTGGATGAAACATGGTTTACATCAAAAAGGTAAATAAAAAAAATCCTTAAATGTCCAACAACATATGAGTAGTCAGAAAATAAATTAAAGCATGTCCATATTATGGAACACTAAGTATTCACTAAAATAACAAAATATTAAAATTTTTATTATGAAATAAAAATACAGAAGAATATAAAATAATATCAAGTTTTTTTCAGTCTTGATTTACTTGATAACTGAAGGCTGGGAGGAAAAAAAACAGGTTACAAAAGATAATGCAAAGCAGACAACTCAATTTAAAAATGGGCAAAAAATCTAACTGACTAACAAATGAAGATATATAGCAAATAAGCATAGGAAAAGATGCTCAGCATCATCTGTCGTTAGAGAATCACAAGTTAAAACAAAAAGATATCACTATACACTTATTAAAATGCATAAAAATGCAAATAACAGAAAACCCCAAATGCTGGTGAGAATGTAAAGCAACAGGAACTCTCATTCACTGCTGGTGGAAATGGAAATGGTAATCACTTTGGAAAACAGTTTAGCATTCTTATAAAACTGGTCTCACTACAGGATCCATTCATCACTTTTCTTAGGTATTAATCAATCGATATAAAAACGTATATCTACAAAAACATCTGCATGTACATGATTATAGCAGCTTTATTTATAACTGCCAAAAGCTGGAAGCAATTAAGATGACCTTTAAAAGCTGAATGGATAAACTGTAGTATATCCATACAATGAAATATTATTCAATAATAAACAGAAACGAGTTATCAAACCACAAAGACATAAGTGAATCTTAAATGTATTATTTCTATGTGAAAGAAACAGTCTGAAAAGGCAATATATTATGTGATTTTAATTATAAGACATTCTAGAAAAGGCAAACTACAGAAATGGTAAAGAGATCTGTGAGTGCCAGGAGTTTAAGAAAAAGAGTAAGGGTTCAATAGGTAAAGCACAAGGTATTTTTTAGAGCAATGAAATTGACTAAAATGTAAATAAGCATATTGTAGAGACATGCCATTATACATCTGTCAAAACTCACAGAACTTTACAGCACAAAGAATGAACTCAACTATGAATATTTTAAAAAATAACTTAGGTAGAAGGATCCCAGGATGGAAGGCAGAATGTGACAAAACAACACAAATGTATTACAAATATATGAAATCACCTCACTAAAGATGGAAAAAAGTGATAAGACATGAGAACAGTCTATAAGACTGAGGCAAAACGAACTGTACAGAAGCACTTACTCCAGTTCACATAGATGTTTCCTAAGAGGTAAGGGTTAATAATTCTCATACTGCTATATGTATTGTGTGTTTGTGTATACATACACATACATGCACTAGAAGTAAGCAGTTAAGTAAATGAACGGCAGATGGTGGGAGCCAGGTGTCTCACTGTGGGAGAGGAGGATTACAGATAAGCAGAGGAGGCTAGAATGATCCCTATGGTAATGAACATTTGCTTGAACTAATATATAGTTTAATGTGTTAGAGACATCAGTATGAACTTATGTTTAGTTTAATAGAGATGGTCAGACATAGAAATATCTATAAAGATGTATATACACACAGGTTAGTAAACTTACTTTGTTAGCTGAGAGGATCTAGTTAGCAGAAGCACACCTCATCCAGATTTTGGTTTCTAGTATTATTTTCCAATGAAAAGAACAAAGGCTCCTAGGAGAAACAACTTATTCTAAGACTGAATCACTTTGTAGTGCCAGAAAGGAAGTATAAACACACACACACACACACACACACACACACACACACACACACACACACACAATGAAGGGTACATCACAATACAAAAGCCAACTGAAAGAGCTTCCAATGGCCACAGCTAGAACAATCTTAGCAACAAAATAAAGCAGTACTGGATTATAATGCAAAGAATATGAGTCCATATTGATATAAATGGTTGGCTGAATGAATGTATAAATGAATAAATGTAGAGGAACAGACATATCTCCCATACATAAAAATTCTAAATAATGTATGTTGACATTCTGCCTTCAGGGAAGATAGTATAACTCTCCACTCTTTAAGTGTAGTATATAGTGATGTCCTACAGTATGGAAAGCAAAAAGAGAATAACTTTATAGTGTAGAAACTACCTCAGCCAGGTGATCAAAGTCAATATCAACAGTGATAAGCAATGTTTACAGTGTGTATCCATGATATGACATGATGCCAGTGGTACTTTAGCTACGTGGTCTTCCTCCTAAGAATACAATCACCCAAGTCTAATCATGAGAAAAACATCAGCAAATGCCTCTGAGGGACAAAATACCCATCAAATACTGCTCAAAACTGTCAAGGTCATTAAAAACAAGGAAAGAGAGAAAGGCATAACCAAGAGACATGATGACTAAATGTCATGCGATATTCCAAATGGGATCCTGAAACAGAAAAATGGCGGGGGGGGGGGGGGGGGACGACAACTGAGAAAATCTGAATAAAGCATGCTTTAGCTCTCTAAAAGAAAAAGAATGAGAATGCATTATATGATTCAATTGTTGTAAATAATACACAGACACACAATCAGAACAGGAAAAAAAAGGAACAATATATATCAAAAGGCTCACAGAAGTAATGCCTGCAATAGCCAACAAATAGAACCACCACTTAAAGGTCCATCCACAGGAGATCAGATTATTAAACAGTGGCATACTCTGTATATAGTCCAAAAATAACAAACTCAACAGTCTGCAAATACTTAATTTACTCAGTGCCTATTGCGTGCCATTCATTCATTCAGTCAACAAGTATTTACTCAGGGTCTACTATATGCCAAGCACTTTTCTAGACAATGGAATACAGTATTGAGCCAAAAAACAAAAATCTCATGGGGTAACAAAACAATTATATAGCATATTATTAAGTAAGTGCTATAGAGACAAACAAAGGAGAGGAGGTGAGCATGGTATGGTATATGGGATGGACTGCTATATTAAAATAGGTGGCTGTAGGAGCAATCCCTAAGAGTGACATTTGAACAAACTTGGTGAAGAAGTAGCCAAGTGAACATCTGGAGGGGTGGGGGTCTTTCAGGCAGAGGGAATATAAGTGCAAATGCCATAAAGCAAGAACACTGCAAGGACAAGTCAGAAGACCAGTGCAACCGATGCCAAGTGGAATGAGGAAGAGGAGAATGGGGTAAAGTAAGTGTGGGAAGTAAGTGGGGTGGAGAGGGTGTTAATCACAACAGTACCCAGAATCCCAGAAATTAATCACTCTCTCCTGTAGGAATTGTTTTCCCATCTGTGTCCAAAATTTTAATATGCCATAGACTGGCAAAAAGCAGTAATGCTTCTATCAAGCAATCAACTATTTCTTGACTTCCAGATCTTTAGAAAGTGCTTCTTTATAGTTATGGTAGTTTTCCCTTTAATTTCCCATCCTCGGTCCCATCTTTCTGCTCTCTGGAATCATACAGAATAACTAATCTTTCATGACACATTTTCAATTCTTTCAATTGTTCAAGTAACAAGATATACACCTTTTTCATCTTACTCATTTTTCTCCAGACCTACTGAAGTTATTCCATATACGCTTTAGAGTGTAGTGCCCAGAAGAGAACACAAGTTCGGGTGGGTCTGTGCAGTGCATGGATTACAGCAGAACATTATCTCTATTCTGGGGCTGTCACATCCACTAACATAGGTCCCCCCAAAAAACAGGTATTAAAGAGATAACCATCTTTCTCTCTTCTCTTCTGCAACCTGAGTTATGTCCTAAAAACACTTATATAATTTTCTAATAAGATTATACTCTTCTGTTTAAAAGCTTATGCTGACCAAAACCCTTAGCATGGAGGTCAAGTCCCTTTACAACTTGACATTAATGTACCTCTAGCCACAAGCAAGCAAATAAACTATGATACAGTTACAGTCGTTTAAAACAAAACAAACGAAAAAGGCTTTCTAATGTTCTCAGCCATGGTTCTTTTGCTTCTCTTGTTCCCTCCGTGTCCAATGTCATTCCACTGTTGTCTACCATAAGTTCCTGGATCCATTCAAATCTAACCAAAATGCCTTCTCTTGCTTTTCCTCAACACCACATCACCCCAGCACTTACGAGGCCTGATCCCTAAATGGTGCTTGGAAAAGCTGTTACATTAATGAATGAATGAATAGGCGCGAGTGCCCCAGCTTTTTCTCGGCCCCTGCGCACACCGCAGCAACTGCACTAGGGCCTGGAATCTGCAAACCCCTCTCCCACATCAGGGCGGCCCGGCGATAATCGTCTCAGTGCTCCAGCGTTCGGCTTGGAGCTGGGATAAAATGGCCTAGAGAAGATCGGGGCTCCTCTGAAGCCTGTCAACGTCTGAGAACCAAACAATTCCGGGGGCAACAGGGTCGAGGATAGCTCCTGGGTGCCGCCGCCCAGAGGCCTGGGAAGATGCAGAAAGAACCCTCCCGCGGCGCCCTCCCGCTGCCCGCCGTCCCCTCACCACGCGCTGGGCGCCCGCCACCAAGACCCGCGCGGACGTGGAGGCCGGGGCCAGTCTCAGGAGCCTCAAGGCCATGGCTGTCCG